ATAAATATTATCATTTAAAAAAATAAAAACACCAAAGTAACCTATAAACACATTTATCGTCAATGTCTCACTGATAGTAAAAGGTCTAGACAGCCACACTGAAATAATTGCTTACATAAAAAAGTACTTCTACATAAGCACTCACAAATTCACAAAGTTACTTCAGAAATTTAAATTAAATACACTAATTTCAAGACTTACCTCTTTTTTCCGATCTTTTTTCCTTTTCACTTCATGGAAGGTATCTAAAGAACATAAAAACAGCGTAAGAATGCAAAGAGTAATGCAGAAAATTCAATAAAGAGTATAAGTTTGCAACTGCCACAAATTCAATACATATATGAACGACAATTAAAGGAATGATTATTCTCAATAGCTTATTAAAAGGGTCATAAAAATATATATATATATATATATATATATAAGTTACTAAAACCTAAACCAAGCTTCAAACTAAACGCCATCAAATCATCTAAGTATTCAAACAGGAAACAAACTAGATCTCCCTGTAGAAAGTGTGGATACCATGAGCATTTTACATCATTTCAATGGTGTGGTTTGCTTTTTGGCAGAGTGGGCAGACTAAATGTGAGGAGTATCCCATTAGTGTAAGGAGAATATTAAATCGCTCCAACATCAAACTTACTTCAAAACTAAGACTTTTCAACAGACTTGAAAAAAACCTAGTTCTTTAACCTAATATGCCTATTACCGCAGTTGTCAACTGTGCAGCCACATGGATATCAGAATATGTCAATGCAAACAGAAATAATCAGTTTAAAAACCAGCTCACTGGAGAAAAGGCATAACTACCACTACTCTGCATCAGCAACTAATTAAAAAAAATCAACTACCCCAAATCAGCATTGCATACACACAAGTTCACAAACTTTACAAATACATTATTAGGAATTTCCCGTGTAAATAATTTTCAACCTACTCAGGGATTCCCATGTTATCACTTTCATTGTCTTTCATTTACCATTATTTTTAGATTACTCCTTCCCTTTCATAATATTTTCCACCCTTGCCATTACTAATTGTCTCAAAATTATTTTCACACTAGCCCTCTCAAGTAAAGTCTCTTATTATCTCATTCTAATCCCACACTATCTCCCACTTTTCGATCTTGGGAATCAGGTTGCACTCTTTTATTGCATTGTCTTTACTTCTACACAAGGAGAGAATACAAGGAAGATGCCTACGAGGCATAAGGGGAAATTCTTTTCAGTCATAGATTGTCACGTATATTCCCAACATTATCAAAATACTTTGGAATACAATATCAAAAAGAAGAAAATCCACAACAATAATAGTGTGCTAAGAGGTACTCCTCTAATGCTAAAGTGTCTAAGTCAACCTAGAGGTTACACTTTACAATTCAACTATAATGTGATAATATTTATCTAGAACTCCAAAAGGTGACTTAATAATATGATAACTTTCTCAATGGAAATTGCAAATTCACTCTCAAGTAAATAAGGAAGTTTTCCAATCAAGTCATGGACTATTTAAAAGAATAAAATGAGGGTCGTGGCAGGGTGGGATAAGAAAAGGGAGAAATATTAGAAAAGGGTGAAATAATAGAAAAGGAAACTTTTGTGATCTCAAAATCTTATTTGAAACCATTAAAAACCAAAAATGAAGGGATTAAATCAAATACAACCAAAATCATGATGAAAGGCAACACGATCATAGGGGCACATCCATCCTTGCAATCTTCCACCTTTCTATCTAACTACCTTATCACCTTAAATAGTCATGTGAAAGTAAACCATATGCTTGGCCCTAATCCAGTTGTGTGCCCCCACTCACAAGCCTCCCTCTAGCCTTGATTCACCTCAAAGAACTCAGCTTCATTTATTCAAATATAAAATAACTAAATCTAACTAATTCCTTAAAACCACTAGACAAGCCCAAATGTACTTCAAGCAAAAATGACCTTCCATCATTCATCTAAAACAAAAATGGCAATATAAAGTAGTAAATTTATCTTTCCAACTAAGAGGCTTTCTTTCTTGACAGTGCATCTTGAATTACAATACAAGTTCTACATGTATCAGGTTCCACGTCAAATAAAACATGAAACTCTTGAAAATCAAACAGGCCTTCTTGCACCCATCTAACGAAGGTCATCATACCCATGGTGTGGGATAGGACTAAGTGAGCACCACTTCGCACCTCCCATCAACTCATTTCAATATGGCCTTGTAATTTGCATGCTTCTTTTTTACATTTCAAACAATGAGTATTTATAGATAATGGAATACCAAGTCTTTCCATTCAGATTTTCAAAAGGACCTAAATAACAAGTAGTTTCCAATAACTACCAAATTGCCAAATAATTAATTGACACAATCACACATAAAGCAAGCACATCTACAACAACAACTATTTTTTTCCATCTTTAACTTGTTCAAAATTCAAAACTTAAATGCCATGACCACAACTCGATATAAGTACACTATAGAGAGGTCCAAAATTCCAAATTCCCAAATTAGTAAAGACACCTAGCATATAAGTGAACTAGCTCATACAGTTTTGTGTTCAAGCTGACATTCACTAAAGTGTACAAACTACAGTAACCGGCTGCTTCCGAGAGCAAGGCGGGGAGCACTCAGGTAACTATAACCGACTTGCATGATGCTACATGGTTCTTCCATTACATAAAGCAAAATATAGCAGGGGAAAAAATAAAACACCAGAAATCAACGAATCGAAAACCGAGCAAGCTCATAAACCAACCCAACTCAAAACTAAACCACCAAATTGACCCGTAAGGTACAGAAAAACCACCAAAGCAAAAACAAACACACACACAATCTATTGAAGCCGAAATCGAGCCGAAACACGGATCAACAGGATAAAATAGCGAGCAAGACGAACCTTGAAGGAGGAGCTTTTGAGTGGTTTCATTAGGATCCATTGAACAATCCTTAAGCATTGCATAAATTTCTTCATCACTGTGATTTCCAGTGATCTCTTTGATGTTCTGGATCGTCTTTTTCACATTGTTAGGGATGGTTGACGACACCCTAACCCCACCGCTCATTTTCACACCCCCTCCTCCAAACCCTAAAAAATCAAACCCCAATTCCAACAACAAACAAACACGACGTTTCCTCAATCAAATTAACGTTTCTGTATGAATTGGGAAGAATTCAAAAAAACCCTAGAAAAAAAAGAGGGAAAATTGGGTAAAATTGAATAGGGACAATGATGTAATTGGGGAAAAAGATTGAAACTTTGAATTGATCTACGAAGAAAGAGGAGAGAGAAAGAAAAGGGGGGAGAAGAGAAGAGGAGAGAGAGAGAGGAAGAAGAAGAGAAGAGGGAGAGAGCAAAATGGGAGAGGTTGGGGGATAGTGTAGGGCTTTTTTGGTGAGTTTGACACTATGTACTTTTCTTCTTCTCTTTCCCTCTCTCTTTTTTCACTCCTTTTTTCTTTATTGTTTGAGTTTGACAACCAATTTCTCCCTTCGGTGTAAGTATTCAACACTTTCTCTTTATCTAATCTGTTGCTCGAATCGTATTCGAATCTAATAAGTGTGAAACTAAGGTAAATTGAGATTGAATTAACCTTAATCGAATTCGTAAATATATCTTAACATCGATTTATTCTATTTCCGTGATTTATTTGTTGTTAATTGAGTACTAAAGTGATCTGAGACAAATTTAAACCAAATGACTCATCATCCAAATATGACTCGATTTAACATGAATCTCACAACTGATCTATATTGATCTATTATGTAAATCTATGCACCACAATGTATATATTAAATTAAATGACAGAGGAGTAACTTATTAAATGACTTTGGATGACTAAACTAGTTCAAATTAATGCAAATAAGAGTCACGAAGAAGAATTAAGGATTAAAAATGGACAAAGTTAAGTTATGACCAAGAAAAATAAGGTTTGAATTCAAATAGAATAATACAGATTCACCGCGTGGTACTAATATGGGAATTTTTGTTACAAATAAGACAAACGGAAAAAAGGAGAAGCTTGCTACGCAAAACATGGGGTTTGGCAACATATGGTGTTCATGAATAAAACTAATTTTCTAGTTGTTTATGTGCCTCCTTTTTCAGTTAGTTGTTTTTTATAGGTAAAAGAAAAAAAAAATCAAGAACCCCTCTTTACAATGGAAATTTATACTAAATCAAAATAAAGAATAGTATTGTGTCAAAAAAAATAAAGAATAGTAGATGAACTAAAATTATTAAAACATAGACATCCATATTATCAATTATTAAATGACCCTCTGTAAGTGATCTAATTTGTCGCGCAATATGCCTCATGGATACTACAACTTTGAAACTAAGTGAGAAGAGAACTCGTGTTGTCAACAATGTGCTCTATCATCCACAAGAGTGATCAAATGCCTTTTATTGAGTTGGTGACTGTAAAATGTCACTTTCAATTTGAATTTTATGGAATTCTAGCTAAAGTGTTAAATTGCTAATTGAACTACATTATGAAGCAATGTGATTTTCTTTTTGAATGCCTTGGTGTTATCGAACTTGAACATACATGTCTTGATGAAAGCTTCGCTACTATGTCTTATGATAACTCTTAAGATTGTTGAGTTTGTTACAAAATGAACTATCAACATTGAGTTTGATGAAGGTGGAGGGAGGTGTTTTCCAAGATGTAAGGAAAATGAATATGAGAGGAAAAGTTATGTATCACGGATTGAGATATCCAATAGAGAAAATTCGTAAATGTGAAACTTTCACCTATTGAATGCAAATAATTTTAGGTGGTAGATCCTATACATGTAAGGTTTTCATTACAAAATATAATAACACATCTCTCTTACTAAATACTCCAAATTTCCAATCACTCTCATGCGGGAGAAAAAATGAGGCACTTAGAATCTGTTATAATGAAGACCAAGGATTTTTAAGGTAAAGTTAACAAGTAATTATACTCTAGTTACTCCTTGTATTTCTTTTGTTCTTCCCTTTTTTTACACGTTTAATCCACACTATTTATCGTTAAATTTTTACTTATATTTCAGTACTCCATCTGTCTCTTTATTAGAATCCCTTATTCCTTTTTTGGCAAATCAAAATCAAAGTCCCATTATAAGAAACTTTCCTTCTTAAAAAAAAAGTGATTTTTTTTACAATTTTAACATCGTTCTCCTAATTTAACCCTCAAATTATCCTCAAATTTTCTGATTTTTTGTGTCAAATGTTCATTTATGACACACTATTTATTTTCTCTCTCTTTTTTTTTTCCTCCCACTAGTTATTTAATGCAAGTAATATACTTTTTACTTGGTTAAGGAATCTACCAAAAACCTTAATTTCCATGAAAAATAAAAAAGAAACTATAATAAAGAGGCGGAGAGAGTATTGTATCAAGATAAAAGTTTGATTTGTCAACATGAATCAAACAATTACTAGTAAAGAAATGATTAAGTTCTGATCTAGAAAAACAAAGTTAAGACTTAAGAAACTCATGGGCTTATGGCTTTAGTAGAGAAGACAATCACCTCTAAAACCCTTCAAAATGAGAAAACCCCTTGTTCTTCTCACACCACTTTCAACCTTCTTAAGAGCTTCCACCTTCATCAATGGCGTTCCCCACCATTATTTTCTCTCTCCTCCAACCTCAAACTCCCAACCCCAGCTCCAAATCCCTCGACCAAACCCTGAACTCAATTGGGTATTCTTCACTACTTCTTCACTCCCACCTCCTGAATGGATCGAACCCTTCACTGACATCTCCGACGTCGTTTTACAACCCCACCAAAATCTCCAACCCTCCATTTGGGTTTCTCGAATCCTTGAACTCCTCGATGGTTCACCATTAATGGAGTCTAATTTGAGTAATTATTGTAATAAGTTTTTGATTAGATTAACGCCTAATTTTGTTGCTTTTGTGTTGGGTTCAACTCAGGTGAAAACGAACCCAGATACTGCTTTTCGCTTCTTTTGTTGGGCTGGTAAGCAAAAGAATTATAATCATAAGCTTGAATGTTATGTTACTATGATTGATGTTTTGGGTGTTTCAAATGATGTTGATAGGATTAAGATTGTGTTTGGTAGGTTTAAGAGGTTGGATTTTGTTATGAATGTGAATTGTTTTAATTCTTTGATTAAGAGTTTTGGGAATTTGGGAATGGTTGAGGAATTGTTGTGGGTTTGGCGTCGAATGAAGGATAATGGGATTGAACCTAGCTTGTATACTTATAATTTCCTTATGAATGGCCTTGTGAATTCTATGTTTATCGAGTCAGCCGAGCAGGTTTTTGAGGTGATGCAAAATGGGAAAACTCGGCCTGATATTGTTACTTATAATACTTTGATTAAAGGGTATAGTAAGGCTGGGAAGACCGGGAAGGCGATGGGGATGTTGAAAGAGATGGAGGTTGGAAATGTAGAGCCTGATAAGATTACTTACATGACTTTGATACAGCTTTGTTATGGAGAGAGTGATTTTGATGCTTGTTTGTCTCTTTACCATGAGATGGTGGAGAAGAGATTGGAAATCCCACCTCATGCTTATAGTTTGGTGATTTGTGGGCTTTGTAAGGGTGGGAAGTATGCCGAAGGAAATGTGGTTTTTGGGGACATGGTTCAGAGGGGATGTAAGGCTAACGTTGCAATATATACTGCGTTAATTGATTCGTATGTCAAGGGTGGAAATGTGGAGGATGCTATAAGTTTTTTGGAGAAAATGAAGAACGAGGGTCTTTCTCCTGATGAAGTTACTTATGGCGCCATTATCAATGGGTTGTGCAGGAATGGTAGACTGGAAGAGGCCATGGAATACTTCAGGGTATGCACAGATGATGGGGTTGGTGTAAATGCTACCATATATTGCTCTCTTATTGATGGACTAGGCAAGGGAGGGAAAATTAAGGAAGCGGAAAGGCTATTTGAAGAGATGGCTGTGAAGGGTTGCACTCGTGATTCTTATTGCTATAATGCAATGATCGATGCTCTTGCAAAATGTGGCAAAATTGATGAAGCTTTGACACTCTTTGATCAGATGGATGATGAGGGTTGTGACCAGACAGTTTATACATACACCATACTCATAGATGGATTGTTTAAAAAACACAAGAATGAAGAAGCGTTGAAGTTGTGGAATACGATGATTGATAAGGGAGTTGCACCTACTGCAGCTTCTTTCAGAGTTCTTGCAATCGGACTTTGTCTTTCTGGTAAGGTTACCAGGGCTTGCAGAATTTTGGATGACCTAGCACCTATGGGTGTCATACCTGAAAATGCCTGTGAAGATATGATTAACGCACTGTGTAAAGCAGGGCGCATTGAGCAGGCTTGTAAATTGGCTGATGGGATTGTTGATAGGGGCCGAGAGATACCTGGGAGAGTTCGTACTATATTGATCAATTCCCTGAGAAAAGCAGGAAATGCAGATTTGGCAATGAAATTGTTGCATAGTAAAATTGGTATTGGCTATGATAGAAAGGGAAGCATTAAAAGACGAGTAAAGTTCAGAACTCTCCTTGACATTTAGATCTCAGAGGTGATTGTTCATGAGGTGACAAAACACTAGGGAGAGAGGAATCGAATGGTATACAAAGTAATATATGCCATTTGAAAGGGAAAAAAGTACCTTAATACCATAGTATGAGAACAAAGGCGAGGCCTAAAGAGTCTAACACTGCCAACTACGGAGGGATCAAACTATAAGTGAAATCTGAATAGCCTTCTGTTGGTCAAAACTCAAAAACTACTATGGATGCAGTCTGACCTTTTGTTCTGTGAAACATTTTAGTGAACAAAAGAATAACATTAGGAAGAGGGAAAGCAAAGTGAATGATTCATCACTGAAGTATGTGAAATGCCGTATTGTTCAACAATTTTTAAAGGCAAGGCCTTTCACTCATGTACTTTGGAAGTTTGGAAGATCGGAGATGAAGTCATGTTTGGGCATTAGCCAGGCCATTGGAGGTACAAAAGCAGTGATATGAAAACAGATTCAGAAAGTTGATAAAGTAATAATCCTGTTTTATCCGGAGTATTAAGTTATTAACTTTGTTTCAAATAAAATTGCACTATTTTGACATTTTCATTTTTGACCAATATTTTTCTACAAATATATTAAGGGCATGTTCTCATACGTTGAAATTCAATTCAGTTCAGCTCAGCTCCTAATTTCCTTCTCTTATAAAATATTCATTTCAGTTCAGCTCAACTCCTAATTTCCTTCTCTTATAAAATATTCATTTCAGTTCAGCTCAACTCAGTTCAGTTCAGTTCAGCTGAGTTCAGTCAATGAGAACAAACCCTAAACATACTGTATGTTAGAATGTACATTGAATGATTTGAATTTATATCAATTTATATTTTTTAATTATCAACTTTTTATAACTTTTTGTATATAATTTAATGCAATAATAAGACAATAATGGTCATAGACTCGTAGCTATGTAAAACTCAAATTTACTTCGTATTTTAAAGGCCAAGAAAGTGACCAAGAATTATTATATTTTAATCGTTCATTGCACAATAATCGATAGGAGTAGTTGTATTGAAATTGAACATACAAACAACATTACTGACTGTTTTAATTATATGGGGGGACCATATCTTGATCTCCATGACCATTACTTACGATATCATTTCTTATCATCATCTTTATAAATATGACAGCCTTCTTCATGGAGTCCACTTACTCACACATAGTAAGAACAAAGGCAAGCAAAGGAAAACAGAGAGATTAAAGCAAGAAACTGATAAAATGGCCGCGGTTGTTCCGAGGATGAAGCTTGGTTCTCAGGGGTTAGAAGTGTCTAGTCAAGGTCTTGGTTGTATGGGAATGTCTTTTTCTTATGGTGCTCCTAAACCCGAGGAAGATATGATCAATCTTATTCGCCATGCTGTTTGCTCCGGCATCACCCTGTTTGATACCTCTGACATGTATGGACCTCATACTAACGAGGTCCTCCTCGGCAAGGTAATACCCTCGCTTATATCTGACACTTTAGAGGTTTTCGACACAAACATGAATCTGACACGACATGATCCGTATTCAGTTCTTAGCCTTTAATCCTTTGATCTTGTGCAGGCATTGAAGGAAGGATGGAGGGAGAAAGTGGAGTTGGCAACAAAATTCGGGATTAACAATGTTGGGCCGAAAATGGAGATTAGGGGTGATCCTGCATATGTAAGGGCAGCTTGTGAGGGAAGCTTGAAGCGTCTGGGAATTGATTGCATCGACCTCTATTATCAACACCGCATTGATACTAAAGTTCCCATTGAAATCACGGTTCGTACTCGTACACCACTTTTCTAGATTTACATTTTGCTTATAAAACAGACAGATAATAGAGAAACACATAACATTGTTGGACTCACGAGGTGAAAATTTGTAGCCTTGTAGGTGCTCCCTAAAGTCCATTGACATATTGATGACATACAACATGTACATTGATTATGATGTCTTTGGTTGGTTAATGTTCAACATTAAATTAAGTACATTGATTATGATGTCTTTGGTTGGTTAATGTTCAACATTAAATTAAGTACGAGTATTACAAACCAAATTTTGGCATAATACTCCACGGTAACCCCTATGAAGCCTACCACCCACTTCTCTTCACCTGAAACAAAGAAGCCAAAGTCCTCGCCACCCTATAGTGGTTACAGATCTCCAAAAGCTCCTGGAACCACGCTACAGTTAATGTATATCCTCTGCATCATAAGCTAATCATTGAAAGGGTTGTGAAATTACCCTCTGCATAATTTCCAAGCTATTCTAGGCCATTAAGAAATGGGGCATATTGAAAATGTCCAAGGGGTTCTGTTTAGAACTTCTGTTAGTTATACAAACAATATAAAAAGTATGCTTCTGAGATTTTTGGATGTTTTTTTCTCCAACTCAATCCAGCCAAGATTTGCACTACTGTTGAGTTACTTGAGTCCTCTATATAATCTTGGGCACAAGAGCATTCTCAGGTCGAATTCCACCATTGAATCATATTCAGCTTCCTACTTGTGATAAACTCATTTATTTTCTTTACATGCTTTTACAGATGGGAGAACTTAAGAAACTGGTTGAAGAGGGAAAAATCAAGTACATCGGTCTGTCTGAAGCATCAGCTTCTACTATTAGAAGAGCACACGCTGTCCACCCATTAACAGCAGTTCAGCTGGAATGGTCCTTGTGGACCAGAGATGTGGAGGCCGAAATAGTCCCTACCTGCAGGTAAGACTTCTTTGATGCTCCGTAAATCATATGTAAAAATCTTAAGAATTACAGCTCTGATTTTGTTATTTTGGACGTTTCATTAGGGAACTTGGTATTGGAATTGTGGCATACAGTCCTCTTGGCAGGGGCTTTCTCTCTTACGGACCTAAAATTGTGGAGAGCTTTACTAAGGAGGACAGGCGGCAGGTACGACTTACATTTTTATATATCCCTACTTCAAATGTTTCCCTCCGGCTTCAGCTTGCAATCCATTTAAAACACGAAATATACTTTGCTGATGTTTTTATTTTGCTGTTGTATATAAACAAAACAATGGTACAATGAAAATAATGCAGGAGAGATTTTTGACTCATCCTGTATTTTACAGAATGTTAAAATGCCTTATATAGCCATATATCTTATACGGAATAACATAGTTTTGGAGTTGGGGTACTCAAGGTAAAACAAATTATATATTTCGAGCAAGTAATATGCAAGTGTTTGATGTATGAAAGATTCAACTTCGATGTATACATGTTATGTACCTTCCTATTGCATGACATTTGAAAAGATCTATTTAGAGCAATGGTCCTTTCTCCATATTGATGCTTGTATGTCTATCCTTCCAGTCCTTTCCAAGATTCCGCCCAGAGAATATGGAACACAACAAACACATATTTGAACAAGTTTCAGAAATTGCAGCAAAAAAAGGATGTACACCAGCACAGCTAGCACTTGCATGGGTTCATCACCAGGGACAAGATGTGTGTCCCATTCCTGGAACTACCAAGATTGAGAACCTCAACCAGAACATTGGCGCTTTGTCTGTGAAGCTAACTTCGGAGGAAATGGCCAAGCTAGAATCCCTCGTCTCTGAGAACACTGTTAAGGGTGATCGATATGCATCTCTTTCGAGCACCTGGAAGAACTCGGAAACTCCACCGGTATCCTTATGGAAGGCTGAGTAACTGGTGAATCTAATACTTGTATTGAGATCATGGCTTTGTGTTACAAAACTCTATGACCACCAATTATTCCATAGTTCCCTTCTTTTACTGCCTTTAAATTGTTGAGGTATTTGTGATAGTTTATTTATTTATTTTTTTTAAGAAACAAGAATCTACTACTCAATTTTAGTAGTTTACGTATACCGTATTTCAAAAGGGTTTAGGAGTGCTAGTGGTGAAAGTTCGGTTTGCGGTTTAGATTATAGCCAAAACCGAATCCAATCCGAATTAATTCAATTTCGGAAATCTCAATTCGAATCCAAACCGAATTAATTCGGTTTTTCAAATTAGAATCCAATCCAAACCGAAATTTGTTCCCTTCTTTTGCAACATTCAAATCCAAAACCCGAACTTCACCCAGAAAATTCCTACAATCATTTCTTGTTATCAACATTCTTTGTGAGAGAATAAGATATTAAGAAAGGAGAATTAAAAATTAGGGTTTTTTTTTTAAAGTTTATATATGAAAGGGGAAAGTGGTTGGATACTTTAAAATAAAAATGGGCTTAACGTAATGGGTCTAAATTTGGTTTGTAATTCGGTCTTCGGTTTTTTTAAACCCCAAACCAAATTCATTCCGTAATCCATATTTTTAAATTTTTCCAAACTGATCCAATCCGAATTCAAAAAAAATCCAAACCGAATTACTAATTCGGTTTGGTTTTCGGTTCGATTCGGTTTTAATCCGAATTACTTACACTCCTAAGGAGTGCTAATACTGCTAAATGCAACTGAAAAGTGAAAAATGTGGATTGTCAAGTACATGAAGTTGATTTGATGAACTCATGGGAAACCATTATTAATGCCAACAGCAACTGCTTTGAAATAAATCAAATAATAGGTATTTGGTTACTTTTGAATTTCTGAATGGTTGAAATTAAACTCTATTCATGTTTTTTTGCAAATTAATTTGGTTTTTCTTTTTTTAAGTTTGAATGAGCCACAAGGATATAATTCATATTATAAGTTACTAAGGATAAATTGATACCAACTGTACCCTGTCTTCTTTATAAGGTCGTAACTTTAGGAGGGTTCTCCTCAAAACGACCCCTAACATATTTTAAACACATGTCTTATTTTCGTGAAGTGATACGAAACCTGGGTACATCGGTGACTTGGGTGTGCAATTGTAATGGTGGAGAGAGAGTGGGAGAGAAAAGATTATTTAATTTTTTTAAATGAACCACTAAAAATTTAATACGTAGAAATTTTATCCAGCTCGATAATAATAAGTTAGGGATTGTTTTAAAAAGGCAAAGTTAACACCGCTATAAATTAAATTGATTAATCAATAGTTCAAACATTATTATAAAAATGATGCTTATAGTTGTGACTAACTACGTCAATTTCTTTTTAATTTAATACGTAGTGTATTATTTTTCAATTTACATACTACTTTAACACATTTTTTTTCTTTCTAAATTGAACCTATTGTTTGATTAAGCTTAACCTTGGTCTTATATCACATTAATTAATAAGGAAAAAATACATCAATGAGATATTATTAGATCGTATTAGTGTATGTTTTCCAAATGTGTCAATTCCTTAAATTTTTTTTTTCAGTACACATTTAAAGATATTTTAGCAATAAAAATAACAAATAAAACAATTAAGTCTAATCTGAACATTTACTAAAATCAAACAGAGTAAACATAACTTTATTTATCATTAAGATTTAAAAATTAAAATTAGATTACAAATTTACAAGAAATGTAAAATATAAATACAATCTTATTTAGTAGTAGTTAATCAATTTGAACGGAAAACACTGATTGGCAAGGGTCGCAAGCAGTGAAGAATCAACAATGGTGAAAACTTTATCAACCGTGACCACCTCAAACAGTGGATGAGTGAAACCTAGCTCCGGCAACCACAACTACCTCAAGGGAGCGGTGACTCCAACACAAAACACTTGGAAAGATAAATATATAACTGAACCTAAGGCAAAAGAGGCTCAAGGGATATAAAGAACATAGACGCCACAGGATATAACAATATTACTACCGTTCATAATATTTTCTCCTATGGTTTTGGAAGCTAGCCCCTCAAAAAATAAAAAATAAAAATAATAATGATGTTTTATCCATACATAGAAACCTCCCAAATGTCTCATGCATCATCGGCACCAGTCATCCACGAGTTTAAAAAAAAAAAAAAAAGTACTTAAAAAGTTTTTTTTTTTTTCCTTTTTTTTGAACTTTAAAAAATAATTCCAAAATCTTGTCATCAACTTCAATTGATATAAAGCATAAATAAAGCTCATGACCACTTTAAAATTCTACAGTCTTATTTTGTTTTTGTTTTCAATTCCTCTTACACAAATTGTCTATAATTCATAGATGGGTCTGTGTTAGGTTAGCCTGAAGACCCTACCAACCAAGGAGACCTCTAATATCTCAATATAAGTCATTGGAAGAATTGAATGTAAGAAATTCATCCAACAAGTCTTGAATTCATTAGGCATAATACTAGACAAAAAGCTTTATAAAGCATACATTGTCGAAGATTTTCATCAGAATTGACTTTATCAGTAGAAATCATACCAGAAAAACTTCTGCAACATAGCAAATCATACATGCATACAATATTAGCCTTTAGCCCAGAGATCCCTACTCCCTAGCAATATTACCAACAGTGATATCACTGGCAATGCGGTTATGTGCACGCCAGAATTTCTTTGTAATCATACAGAGGAACTCTAATAATAATTAATAAACAAAGTCCATAAAAGACGATGTCAGGATTCTCAAGAAAAAGGGAGCTCTGATAATCAATCTAAAGAGCCCATAGGGCAGAGAAAAGGACACAGCAGCTCCGTATAAATTGTGCAAGCAAGCATTGCAGCTTGCAAGAACCATATACATGGAGAGGCAACAAATACCTATTAGCTTACAGCAATGGGACTAACGGACTAATGCTACCCTGCGCACTTACTAGCCTGATAGTTAGTGAGCAAGAAGAGCAACACTAAGGTTTTTTCTATATTTCCTGCATAACCACTTGATAAAACAAACCTCAACATTGCAAAAATAAAACTATGTCTAAAATATAAAAAGCAACTGCAAGTGCTCTAAGTCAATTGTCATTCACAATCTTAACTAGCTACGCAACTACAGAATACAAGACGGTGCTAAAAAAACTATCAGCCAAAAATAGACAATAGCTAATTCTGCCCACACTATCACCAAAACATAGATGCAGATGAAACTAATGCAATCTCACAATCTTGATCTATATATGGCTGGAATATATCTGCTACAAAGTCCTTAAAATGCTGAGAAATGAGCGACAGTCTGCAAATTCTATGGTAAGGCTCTTACAGATGTCTATCATGCATAAGGGTGGTAACGACTACTGCCGCTATAGCCTGCCCTACTTCCGTACATCGCTCCCGCTCCATATCCACCAGGGCCTGAGCCATAGCCAGGACCTGAACCATAGCCAGGACCTGAACCAGACCCAGAACCGCCACCATAGCTATCACCTCTGCCAAACATCCCTAAACCACTACCATATCCTCCACCTAAAGCCCCACCATACGGGCCATAACGGCCAGAGTAACCATAAGATGGTTCTCCGCGATAACCAGCCATACTAGCAGCTCCACCAAATCCACCATAACCTTCTCCATAATCACCACCTCCATATCCACCATAATCACCAAACCTAGAAGGGAAGGCTCCGAATGCCCTATAGGATGCAGGACTATAACCACTTCCAAATCCACTATAATTATCAGGGTATCCTCTGAAATTACCTCCATGATTGCGTGCCCTAGAGTCACTACCAAATGCAGAACCAGAAGCAGGGTTTGAGGCTTTCTTTGGTTCAGCCTTCTTGATCTCAACCTACAACAAAGAATTAAGTCAACCTACAGTCTTTAATACCTGAGAGCCTGGGTGGAAAAGAAAGTTAACCTGTGTTCATTTCCAATTATGCTGAGATACAACCAAATTTTAGATACGAAAATTTTCAAATTTGAAAACCAAAAAATAATAAAAGACAAAATCATTATAAGAGAATAAGGCATATTACAACATATTTTAATTAATCCATACACAGCTGACCTGGGATATACAGTCCTAAAAAACAGCCAAATAACTAAACTCACCCTTGAGCCACTCATATCGATCATGTTTCCATCAGCCAATATTTCATCGACAACTTTTTCATGGTCAAACACCACAAACCCAAATCCTCGAGATCGTTTAGTAGCATGATCAAGAATGATCTCATGTTCCATAACATTACCATACTTTGAAAAGAAGTCCTTCAATTCATCTATAGTATCAGAAATTGAGAAAATCAGTATCACGAAAATAAACAATAAAAAATCAAACATAACAAATTATAAAGTAGACCTTCAGTCACAGTTGCTGGAATGCCCCCTACAAAGATCTTTTTAGTTTTAAAACCATTTGTTTGAGCAGCAGCACCCTTGGGTATTGTCCTCTTGATTTCCACCTGATGCAATAATCAAACAGAACAAACACTAAGTTGAAATATAGAGAGATGAATAATCTGCACTTAAAATATCCAGATACAATTAGCAAAAACATACATAATTCTAATGGGGAAAAGTGAGGAGTTAGCATGAAAAGCTGGCAGATTTCCATAGCTACCCACTTCTATTCCTTCCCCACTATATTTGCATGCATAAGTACACATAGTAATAGTTAGAGATGTAGCAAAAATATTATTCAATATCTTCTGGCCATCCAATGAAGATGGTCAAATTCACTCAACAACGAACTAAAAAGCTGCTGAATTCTTAAAAACATATAGCAATGCAAAAAGCTCCCTATTAAAATGCAACTCATTATTAATGTGGTATAGTCAGGCAATACAATCCTCCTCCCAACAATAAAAACACAAGAGGACCTAGCAAACAAAAAAACTAAGGCCTCATTTGGTTAGCTGACTGTGACTTTGCAACTAGTAGTAGTAATTCAGGAAAGAAAAGCATCCAAAGGACATAACAACCAATATATATGCCATTAAACTACTGAAGTTCAATGAGCATTTATGAAAATTATCCGCTTGAAAATTCATACAAGTAGGTATCATAAACTAATCTACCACACAAACCTCCAAAACAATTTTATTTTATTTTTAAAGTATGAACCTGAAGGGAGATAAAATGCAGCCTTTTCTTCTTTCATAGGACTTCAACATCTATAGGCAAGCAGCTATAGCTATACACAGCCTCAGTTTGTGTCAAAAAATCATAACCAGAAATTACAAGTAAATTGAAAAATTGTCCTCAATAGCCAATACTTTAAATTCATTAAAAAATTCAAATAGATTATGTACAATAATAAACCAACAAAATCCAAGTAAGTTTCCTCAAAAAATAAAAAATAAAAACACACACACACAATGACAAACTACACATGAATATTGGAAAACTGAATAGATGAAAACCAACATCTCCAAACTTTCTGAGAGCAATAAAAATTTTAAAACTTTGTTCTTTCCAATATAAAATAATTTTGGGAAATTTAAGTTGGTCCAGTCATATAAGGCCTACTCAAGGCTGAATCACAATCAACCAAAGTATAGGATAAGCAGATATAAAAGAATTTCGGGTGCACAATCATTACAAAACTACTAAGAATTTCAAAATTCAAATCACAAAGAAAACCCTTCAAAAGACCTCAAAATTAAAGTAAGCAAGAAACTAAGATAATCAAGGAAATCCAACATCTCTAGCAGCAAAATTCAACCCCAAGCTTTCACCCCTTTTACAAATTTCATCTCAAAAAAGAAAGTTTACATGAGATAAAAGTTCATATAAGAATCAATTCAACAAGAGAACCTAAATTCAATCCAATACTAAAACAGTACAAATAAGTGAATTTCAAGACCGACAACCCGAAAACCCAAACACAGATAACTGTCATCAATAAAGACGACGTAAATTACCATCAAATCACAACAAGCAAGAAACTTTATTCAACCAAGAATCAATTCAACAAGAGAATCCAAATTATTAAACCAAGAATCAATTCAACAAGAGAACCTAAATTCAATCCAATACTAAAACAGTACAAATAAGTGAATTTCAAGACCGACAACCCGAAAACCCAAACACAGATAACTGTCATCAATAAAGATGACGTAAATTACCATCAAATCACAACAAGCAAGAAACTTTATTAAACTAACATCAATTTTTTTCTTACAAAAATTAAATAAAATAAGTATAATATACCTGCTTGTCATTAATGATATGGTCTTCTTTAATGACGATATCAACAACACCAGGATCAGCATATGTTATAAACCCAAAACCCCTTGGTTGACCTGTCATTCGATCTTTCATTATAACACTATCTACCACTTCCCCATAATTTGCAAAATACTTCGTAAGCGTATCTGTTCATCCCAGAAAAATAAAATAAAAAATCAATTAATTAAGCAAAAATTCATCAAACTTTAAGCACCATGATAAATTAATACAGAAATTAAGTAATATATACCAAGAGTTGTGTTCTTCGCTAATCCTCCGATGAAAATTTTGCTGCCAAAAAAAGAAATTAATTCAATTAATTTTTGTAAATTAGGGTATAAATCATGGAAATTGAGGAGAGAAAAAGTTAGATAAAGAGTTACCCAGGGCTGGCGCCGTCGACTTCATTGATGCCGGCTTTCTTGAGAACCATTATGGTGGGAAATTTGAGTGATTTGAAGAAAAGAGGGGAAATTTGGGAGGATTTGGGGAAATTAGGGTTTTGATTTATCGGAGTTGCGAATAAAGAGATTAGTAAAGTCGTGTGTGAAAAGGACTGTATAGAGATTATTTATAAGTGAAGAAAATAAAGTCTCGATTTTCTGAACTTTCTCGATCCACCACAACCCAATGGACAATACTTCCTGTTTTATTCTCCTGTTTTTCACCGACATAAAAAAATTTGGAAATCTTTTATCGATTTTGCTGAAATATTAGGGTTTGTTCTGATTAGCTGAATATTTTATGAAAAAAGGAAATTAAGAACTGAACTAAATTGAACTGAACTGAACTGAACTTCTTGGAGCTAAATAAAAAAGGAAGTATTGTCCATTGGGTTGTGGTGGATCCAGAATACTACTCCATCCCCTTTTCTCCTTTTAACACATCATATTCTCTTTCTTCCACATTATTTCCCACTATCTCCATCCTCTTCTTCTTTTTATTTCTTTATTTTTCAACACATCAAAGAGGATCCTTTCTTCCTTCCTCACTCCTACTTTATATATCCCACACAAAGGCAAAAAAAATATTAAAAAAATGAGTTTGGGTCCACTAACATATCTTCTTCAAAACATTTAATATCCTCTCTCCATAGAGGATATATTGCATTTCTCTTGAAAGTAGTATCCTCTCTTACATTTTTACATCAAAGAGGATACTACTTTGAAGGAGAAAGAGTAGAAGGAGGATGATATATCCTCCCCAATGTGTGTGCTCTAAAAATAAGCGGAAGAGAACGGGTCCTTAGGCCTTGTTTAGTTCGCCTTATATCTGCTTATCTGATCTGATCTAGTCTAGTCTGATCTTATCCGATCTGCTCTGGTATAGTCTGATCTGAGTGTCAGATTTGACCAAACTTTGACTTTGAATATACAATAATCTATTCATAATAAATATATCAAGTGGGGTCTTGTTAAATTAGTAATAAAGTGTATTTTATTAATATGTGATTTTTAGAATTTTTATTACGAAATTTAAGATATTTAACAATAAAAAACTGCACATAAACGATGATCTGGCCTGAATTTATTTTTTCTGATATGAGTTGACCTAAACTTATTTTTCTAATCTGATCTGATCTAATCTAAACTTATTTGATCTGATATAAACTTATTTTTTCTGAAATAAGTAAAAATTAGGTGAATTAAACAAGGTCTTAGTTGTAACTTTTGTCAAAAATGTTGCTACACATTAGTTACAACTTTCATTTTTTTTCCTTTTTAAGTAATTTTTTAAATGAAATTACAAAATACCATTATTAATTATTTCATAAACACAATTAGTTACCTAAATTAGATTTCATAAAATTTCTAATTTAAGTTAATTAACATAATATTGTACACCCGGGTGCACTATACCAGTAGTAAGGTGTAAATGAGCTGATATGAATTCTCAAAACTCGTTTATGTTAACAAATAAGCTTGAACAAAAAACTTAATTCAATTTAATAAACGACCGCAAGTCAAACATCTTGTCCGACTTGAAATTATTCATGATCAACTCGTTTAGATGAGTTTATAAGACAAATAGTATTATAACTATGTTAATGCCTTGTTTGGTAATTAGTTGGTAGCTGGTTGATATGTACTACTCCTTAATCAACTACAAATTGTGATAAATTTGTGTTTACTGTGTGGTGAAAAACGTATAGTCAAAGTTAATATGTGAATGATGAAAACTAATCCAATGTTTCAATAGTTTGGGATAAAGGAAGATCGAATTATACAGGCATCAAAACTTGACCATTATTTTTCCATAAAAAGATTGACAAAATCTTAGATAATATTAATAGATATAATATTCTCACATGTAACTCGAGGCTCATTTATTAAAGCAAACCCAAGTTTAGCTTATTCAAGCTCGATATTCAACTCAAAATGAAAATGATCACATTCATGAACAAAGCTGGAGCATTTCAAATTCTTAATTATCCAAGCTCGAACAATAATTTTAAACTTTGTTCAAACTAAAGTTAGCACATTGAGCAATAATAGTTTTTATCGAGGCATTTTAAAGGGAGGAAAATTGAACATCTTGGTTAACACGATATGCATGTACTATATAAGAATTTTATTAGTTTACTCATAATATTATAACTATATGCTTTTTCAAAAATCATATTCATGATGAGTGACATTTATGTTACCCTTAGGGGTAGTGTATTGGTCTCTTTTCTCCTGTTTTTCTTAGGTTTTCTACCTCTTTTCTCCTCTTATGGCTTCCTTTTCTTTTATGGATGAAAAGTATGCTTATTTGCGCTTGTTTTGATAATCTTTATGCATAATTTTATCATCCCCATGCTCTCGTGATCTTTGCTATCTTTTGCAGGTTCCATGACGGTCCTAAGCACGGTAGGAGGCCCCTTGGCCAAGTATGGAGGCATGGACAAAGACAAGAGGAGCAAAAGGGAAGAAGAGGAAGCAAGAAGAGGAAGTTCAAGAGGAGGTGTGACCACACCTCTAAGAGGTTCGGTCGAACCTAGGTGTGGTCAAACTTTTGAAAAGTTCGACCGAACCTCCAAGGCAGTTTCAACCAAGTTTTCAGCATGTTTACAGGAGGGGTCGAACCAGGAAAGTTCGACCAAACAAGGATCAGGGAGGTTCGGCCGAACCTACCCTGAGTTCGGCCGAACCTACCCTGAGTCCGACCGAACCTACACAGAGTTCGGTCGGACCTTTTCCCGTTTCAGCTGACTTTTTGCGGAGCTTCCTAAGCAATTTTGTAAAGGGTATAAATAGATTTTTTACTCATTAAAGAAAAGGGAGATTTTTCAGTTTAGAATAGTTTTTAGGTTAGTTCTAGGTTTTTAGAGAGAGAAACTCTCAAATTTTGGAGAGAGAAAGTGAGGAGCACAATGGTTTTCATGGATTTTGGATAATCAAAGGAGGAATTTGATGATTTGAAGATCTCCATTTTATATCAATGAGCATTTCTTACTCTCTTCTCTCTTTATGCTTTATTAATTGCTTTGTTAATCATGTTTGAGTAGATTTCCTTCTACTAGGTGTTGAGTGAAGCTTTGTTATGGTTAATTGAGTTATTTGAGATAAATTTGATGATAATTGTGTGATTAAATTGATTGAATTGATGTTGGCATGTTGTTTGTTTTAGATTGGATTGATCTCCCATGATAGCACACTTAATTGCATGTTAGTTCTAGTTTGACAAGGGATTGTGAATTAGAATTGATATATTTGATTGCATTTTGGGTAATTTTCTTCTATGCACCTAGTCAATGAGGGATCTAGGCTAGGAATTTGAGAGATTACTTTTGAGTGTAGTTAATTCTCATTATAATTCTTTCTTTGCATGATTGATTATCAAATGGATTCTCATTAGCTTATTAATTGTTCTAAGTGGATCTTTTCCCCTAGTAGACTTTATCATACCTTGTTCTTTATATGTGTTTTAGTGTAGTTGTAGTGTCCACTATCCATAAACCGATTTCGGCGTAGCTTAAGCATTAGATCGAGAACAATCCAACATTACCGTTCCTTGTGGTTCGACTCCGAACTTACCACTAGACTTGTTTAGGGGTTAGTTTTAGGATTTATAAATTTATTTGATTGAGTGTGGAATGTGCGACCGTTCTAACGCCCGTCAATTCACATAAAATTAAAAATTACTAACCCATAAGCTAGTAAGTAAAATAGGAAGAAAATAAGTAGAAATGTAGAATAGAATATATTTTTTTCAATACTTTTGAAGGAATTTACACCATGCATGGATATTATATTGTAGTTTTTTTTTTTTTTTGGGATAAAATGAGTTTTCACATTCTCTTCGAGCATATGGCTGGTGAAAATACATAAAATAGAGCATGGAATTAGACATCTTGTACCTTTAACCTTTAAATATGGTGGTTGCAATATATAGATAGATAGATAGATGTACATTGTTTTTTAAAAAATTATTATTAACCGAGAACGACGTGGTACATTTCGAGTATTATTATTTTTAAAAAATTACTAGATGTATATTTGTTATAATTTTTTAAACAGAGTTCGTGTGTCTATTAATTTTTTTTATAGAATAAAAATATATGTACAAGGATAAACAAATTTAAACGTGGTTTAATTTGTGGACAATTTTTTTTTAATAATAGTTTATTTTTGTGGGTAGTTATGATAGGATAGGTTTTTTTATTTTTTATTTTTTGTATTGCACTAAATTTTAAAGGTATTTCAGGATAAGCAAAATTTATCAACCAAGAGGATTTTTTTTATTTTATTTTTGGGTAGAGAGCACAAGGGTGGTTGATGAGAATAGATCCCAAGATATCTTAAAACCGAGAGGGAGCTCTAACCACTTGAGCTTTTTCTCACTCTCTGTTTATATAGTATTATACATTAGTTTCACATCTCAGGGCCTGTTCCGATTGACTGAACTGAACTGAACTGAACTTATTAATTAGTGATTTTTAACTACAGATTAGTGATCTTGGATTATTTATTGATTATTTATTACTATACATATGTGTATATACAAATGTACATATTAAAATATTTACAAAAAATATACTATATAATTATAATATTTATGGAAAATATATTAAAAACTTGAAACCTCTAAACATTTTAAACACATATACTATTTAATTTAAAAATAAAATAGTATTATGACAAAAGAACACAAAACACTTACATGTATCTAACCCATTTGAACAATGAATTGTATCAATATTATTATTATTATTAATTATTATTATTATTATTATTATTATTATTATTATTTATTGATGATTATTATTATTATTATTATTTATTGATTATTATTATTAGTATTATTATTTCAATTATTATTATTATTATTATTATTATTATTTATTGATGATTATTATCATTATTTATTACTTATTGATTATTATTATTATTATTATTATTATTATTATTGTTAATATTATTATTATTATTATTATTATTGTTGTTGTTGTTGTTGTTGTTGTTGTTGTTGTTGTTGTTGTTGTTGTTGTTGTTGTTGTTGTTGTTGTTGTTGTCGTTGTCGTTGTAATACTAGCTTAAAAGAATGAAATTTGGCTTTATATCATTAGCAATATCATTAGACATAGATTAAGAGCTGAACTGAACTGAGCTGAGCTGAACTGAACTGAACTGAACTGAATTTCAACGGAAGAGAACAGACCCTCAATTTTAACAAATTAAGAGCCTATTATGATTTACTGAACTGGGCTAAATTGAATTGATTGGAGCTGAACTAAACTGAGTTGTTTATGAGAGAAGGAAATTAAGAAGTGAATTGAACTGAACTAAACTGAGTTGAAATTTAGCCGAAGAGAATAGGCCTTAAAACTCACCATATTACACTATTTCAAAAATTTTATTTTACATTGTAGACAACCATAACCGACAAATTTAAACTTCACATGTCATATTCTAAATTTTCTGTATTTTTTTAAAATTACATTAATTTTTATTTCGAAGGATGTCATTAACCCTTTTTCAGTTTTATTAATTGTTTAATTTCTCTATATTCCTTAAACTTCCAAATCATAAAATTATTATAAATGATTTACATCACTTTTTCTTTTGAAATGAACAAGATAAAATATGTGAATTTAACTTATTTATATTTGAGAATAGATATTTTATATATTAATAATAATATTTTGGAGCAAAGGAAGTAGTTCAAAACTTGCAACATTTATTTATAGTATACTCTAATTGATTGAAAAAAAAATACTTCATTTTTTTTTGGACAAGAAATAAAATACTTCATAATCTAATACGAGCTGTACCCAGTTAATTCCCCAAATAAACAAATGGGGGTATAATTGTCTTTTTAAGTACCAGTGAAGGGGTACATGCGTCTTTTCATGTACTAGTTAAGGGTAAATGTAATTTCCTCAATCCTCACCAAACAGTAAAAGCAAGTTGCAAACAATAATTAGACAGCTCACCAAAAATACTAAATAAATGACCACGTGTTTTCAATATATTTACAAAAATGCCATTAGATTAACAAAATTTCGTTTATCTGTTAGATAAACTTGTATTTGCCCATCTAATATTCCTATAATTTTATATTTATGTAAATATATCAATCAGATCGAGTTATGGGTTATTTCATGTCAAGTCACTTTAAGATACGGGTCAAGAATTTTAAAAACTTGGTAATTGATACTCCGTATGTAGATAAAAAAAATTTATACTTGTATTAAAATTCAATAAAAAAGGAAAAATAATAATAAAAAAGGGTTTTTCTACATTATAACCCTCTAATTTTTCGTTTTCTACGATGTGCCCTTCCCTTTTGAGAAATCTACACTGTAACCTTAAAATACATTTAGTTTCTATACGGTAATCTTGTCGTTAACAAATTCCGTTAGTGGGGCCTACTCACCATTTTATAATATTTTTTTTTATCAATTTACGTGTTGAAAATAGTTCTGTAGAAGTTTTGGGGGTATATTTTGGGTCTAAAGGAACCAAATTGAGCTCAGATTTAGCAAAATAATAACACAAATGCCTCGTTTTTCATATTAAAAAATATTTCGATTTGCGTGTTCACGTATTTAATATGCAAAACAAGACATTTGTGTCATTTTTTAGTGAAATCTGAGCTTAATTTGGATCCTTTAGGACCAAAATACCCTCAAAACCTTTAACGGAACTATTTCTAACACGTAAATCGATAAAAAAAATATAACTAACGGAATTTGTTAACGGCAAGATAACGGCAAGGTTACCGTATAGAAGCTAAATGTATTTTAAGATTACAGGGTAGATTTCTCAAAAAGAGTGGGCACATTGTAGAAAACGGAAAGTTAGAGGGTTATAATGTAGAAAAACCAAAAAAAAAAAAAAAAAAAAAAAAAAAAAAAAAAAAAAAAAAAAAAAAAACTTATGAAGGTTGTTTGGCGCAAAACCCTGGTGTTCAGTTGGAAGCCGCACAACTTGAAAACTTAAACCACAGCAACAACAATGGCGAAGGGCAAAGAAGTAAGAGGAGGCAAGAACAAACCCTCAAAATTTGGCAAGAATAAACCCTCAAAATTTAGCAATAATCGTCCTAAATCTCTTGCTCCCAAAAAACCCAAAACCAAAAATCCCAAGAAAATTAAAAAACAATTGAAAGATAAACCCACAATTGAAAAGGTTGATAAACCCATAAAAAAACCTGCTGTTACTTCCCTAATTCTATCACCTTCTGAGCGTCGCAGTTTTTTTGTTGATCAATTTGAATCTGCAAATGGCACCAAACTCTCTTCCCTTGAGTTGGAATCCATTAAAGGTCATCTTTTTCCTTCAATTACTTACCTAATTTATTTTGTTCAACTGTTTAATTTTCATTGAGTACAAACCCATGTCTAATTATATATGCTATTTATTTGTATGTTTGATTTGATTTTTTCGGACCAACAAAATTGAGTAAAGTTTGGATTTTATGTTTTTTCATTAATATTTATTAGCGTAGTTGCTATGATTTTCTAGACAATTTTATACAAATTCTGTGTTTTATGCCTTTATATCTTTGAGCTGAGCTCATTTCTTGTTAATGTTGTATGTATTGTAGGCAAAAACTTAGCACATTTAGTTTCAGGTGATAATAATTAATCAGGATGTTTCTAGGCCAGCAGATATGCTACTTTATCAGAATCAGGTGTTGTCAAAATTATGGGTTTCATCTTTTGTGAGTGGTGATGGGTAGTACAGAGTAGTCTAATGTTGTCAAAATGTTTAGGCTAAGAAGATGCAGCTTTCGACTATGAGTTGATATGGAGTATTATAGAACAGTAAGACTTCGATACATACGTTGGAGGTGAAATACATAAAAGAAAATAAGTGAAAAAGCTCGGTATAACATGACTTTCTTCACTTTAGGCGGATGATCCATCTGTGGGTAGTAGGTGCTAGGCTTTTGTTGAAAACTTACAGGCTTCGTTTAAAAGGGTGGATATGAGAGTGTATATATTTAAAAATGTGTAAGGGAAGTCCTAAACCATTTTGGGACTATGGTATTGTTGTTGTTGTTGTCGTCGTAGTTGTTGTTGTTGTTGTAAGGGAAGTCCTATGCTGATGGCCATAGTAATGCTAGTTCACTCCAAAGTCCAAACTATCTCTATTTCTTTATAAATTTTCGTTACTATCTTTTACTACTTGGGGAGTTATTAGGTGGGTATAGAAATTCAAGAAAAACACATGTTTGAAGATGAAGTTGCATTACTATGGTTATTAACATGATTTTTAATTCATTCCCATTATCATCATTTATTACCACTTACAAAAAAGGTTGTTAGTGTATGTTCCTACTTATTTTCTTTACTAGCCAATCTATGTTGTACATGTATTTCAGCATTTGATCGTAAAAAGGATATGGATAGTTTGGTATTATTGTCGTTAAACAAATATGCAGATATAGACTATCTTGATGCATTACAGTCGCATACTTTTAACAAACAAATCTGAAATCTGGCACTTTGGTAGAATTCAAAGTAATTCGACTTTTTCTACAAAAAATAATTTCCCTCCCTTCTTTGAGTAGTGCTACTTTTACTTTTTGCTCATTTTGTCCTTTCAATTATTAAAATACCTTTCGTTCATACAAAAAAGCGTTCAGTCTCAATAATATTCAAGGTGATTATTTACAAGGATCAGCTTAGGAAATTAGAAACTATAGGGTATGTGTGTATGAATAGAACTTCTGATTTGTGTGCTCATTTTGTTTACCACATTATGCACTTGGTGTGCAAAGAAAATGATATTTCATATTAACTTGCTATATTGGGTCCATGTTTAGCAGATACGTACTTTCCAAAGCCGTTGGAGAGAATTAGTCAAGATGCTGGCAACTTGGGGGAGCATATTAAAGGTGTATTTGGATCATCATGGAAAGAAGTGCTTTGTGAACCACAACTTGTTGAGGGAAAAGTTGATCCTGGGAACCCCGCTGTCTTGGTTATTAGTGCTTCTGCCATAAAATCGTTGGAAATGCTGAGGTTTGAGTTTGACCTTTGTATCACTTTGATTTTAGGAACATCATTTTTTACTTGCAGCAACCCTATAAGACTTCATCGATATGAATTGCAGCTGCAACCTAGATTAAGGTTAAAAAAGGCTAATGGGTTGTCTTGTGCATAGTTTTGTCATCAAAAATATTTATTGTGCAAACTCCATACACAGGGGCTTGCGGATATTGACTAAAGAATGCCAAGCTGTGAAGTTATTCTCGAAGCATTTGAAAATTGATGAGCAGGTTAAATTTTGTACCTTACCTTTCTATGCAATTAAAATGGCACAATTAGATGGCTGAAAAGATGCTTGGCAACTCTGTATATTTGTCTAAGTTATATTGTCTTCATGAGTAAAGTGCTATCTGCACTGCCTGCACATTTGGAAACCTCTTTAGTCCACATTGGATATTAATCCATAAGACTACACATCCTTTCCCCCTAGTGCAATAACGTGTGGGCTTCTTTAGAGGCATTGGGGGTGATGTTGGTGTTAAATGCTGACTTATTAACAAAGAAGCCTTTTTTAACGCTGCTTTCTGCCAGGCCATTTATATGGTGTTCTGTTCCTAGATGCTTAGAAGTTTATTGCATCAACTTTTCACCTTCATGCATACAAACACTGTCTTGCCCGGAACTAGAATTGTAAATGACAATATACATACATACATACATATATATATATATATATATATATATATATATATATATATATATATATATATATATATATAATGATATGATATGATATGACCAAAAACCATCAGTGTTGATATGGATCTAGGCAACTCTTTGATAAAATGCTCCGAAAATGAAGATTCTTGGCAGAAAGATTCAATCTAAGATGGTGCTGATACTAATTATGCACAATGTTTCATGCATAGGCCAAATGAACGTTTTTAGATAATTTCAAGATAAGATGGTGCTGATACTAATAATGCACAATGTTTCATGCATAGACCAAATGAAGGTTTTTAGTTAATTCTTCAAATTTTATGTTTTGCAATGCATAGCAATATGACGTCTTTATAAAAGCTTAGGACATAGGTATTTTAATGTACGTAAACCAACCTTGTAGCCCCAAGGATAATAACATATTATTAACACCTAAACAAACCTTACACATACAAACACTGTTTAAAATAACAAGCCTATTCTTGGCCATTCTAATGAAATCAGCGCACAATCTGACAATTTTACAATCTTACTTGATAAAGCATTGAAACTCTCTGGATGGACCCTTTTATCAGCTAAGTAAACGAAATAGAGCTTTTTGAAATATATTAATAAGGATATGCAATAAAAATGCAAAATCTTTGCTCTTTATCATTAAAATGAAACAAAGTAAGACTAAGCCAAATCCTAATCTGTTGAACATGACAGCAATAGGCACTTAAACTGTTTTCTGATCTTCTGCATTTGCATCACATTGTTAGTCAGATAGATTAAAACTGACATTTTTTTTTTCTCGTCATAAGATTATGCGATGCATTTTGGTAATCATAAAATCAGAAAATATCATATTAATGTGAACTGAATATTTTGAGTCCTATTGTCTTGAGCATGTTTTACCTCAGTCAGTATTTATGCCTATAATTTTGTGCTTGCCTTGTATATCAGACAATTCCCCGATGTCTTCCTTTAAATCGCATATCATATTTCTCTTTTAGTGAGCTAGTGTATTAAAAGTTGCTAGTGTATTGTCTTGAGCATGTTTTTACCTCAGTCAGTATTTATGCCTATAATTTTGTGCTTGCCTTGTATATCAGACAATTCCCCGATGTCTTCCTTTAAATTGCATCCCATATTTCTCTTTTAGTGAGCTAGTGTATTAAAAGTTGCTCAGGAAGACAGTTTCTGATATTTGCAGGTAACTCTATTAAAGAATCGTGTGAATATCGCCAGTGGTACACCAAGCAGGTAACAATGTACATTATTAAATTGGCTATTCTTTGTGTAGAAAATATGTTTGTGTTTTGACTTGCTGGTCTTAGATATTAGTTAAACTTTTTTTTGTGGGTCAGTAGATAACTGCTTGGTGGATTATGTCTGACTTTCCTGCACTAGCAAAAGGGTATATGTGGCCTAATTAAGTCATGACTCTTGATGTTCTCTACTTTTGTGACTCTAGTTTGTTGTTCCTGTTTCCTTTTTTTCCCTTTCTAGATTTTATATTGGTAGAGACTAGACTGGAGTACTTCTATTGGTAGTAAATGAGGAACTCTAGTGATATATTCATGCATTGTCCAAATAGCAGCCATAGAAATGATGCTTGGTATGCAGAACAATCTGTAAGGACTTAGATCGCTCATGTTAGGCCTTCAAGTATGTTTTTCTTGTTTGTGTACTGTTCATTTCAAGCTCTTCATTTAAAGCATCCTTTGGCTTTCTAGATGAGATTATGAGCAATTCATTAGCTTGAAAGCATTTAGACTTATTGTTTACAACTCTTGCTGGTCTTTATGCTTTGTCATCCCAGTGATGTTGAGGGTTTGTTGCTTGTGTATCTTGTGTTCTTTTGTAAATGTGTAGCGCTGGCTTCGTAGTTCTGGCAGTATTTGCTGCATCAGGATTTAAATTGTTTCTATGAAATGTGGTGCTCAATTGAGCTCTTTCCAATTGAATTTTTAATTTCTTTTATTTTATTGCTAGCAGCATAGCTGTATGCAATCTGCTGTTCAGGGAAACACGTAGTTTCAGGCAGTGAGATAAAGATAATGTGTATGACCAACTATGAAAATGCGTGGAGTACTATCAATATTTGGAAAATGCCATTTGAATTTGGAGATTGCATTAAATTTTTTTTGTTGCTTTGCTACCCTGCTATGATCTGTTTAGGTGTATGAAGTTGGGGTAGAGGGGAATTGATGGAACTTATATATGGAACATGGAAAGATGATATGGAGTGAAATGAGCTACATGTCAAAGATCCATCCTGGTAAATTTACCCTGATAGCATGAAGAAGTAAATTTTGTCTATGATTTTGAATAAACATTAAAATCCAACTCAGTAAATAATAATTTCCTAATTGCCTTGTTTATGATATATAGATGGTCATTTAATTAAATGCTTTTGTATTTTTTGGGGTGTTTAGACTTTATAGCTTGGAGTATAGAAATTATTGAAACTAAATTTGTTCAAGTATTTGTTTGATTAGCGGAGTATATAAGAAAAAGGATGCTTCTTTCAGTTCTGCACTCATTTTCTATCAAAAAAGTTTCTTGTCTGCATGAAATTCTCAAAGGATTGCCAAATTGCCACTGAGTTAGATTTCTTATTAACCAGAGGAAAGCCCATAAAATTGGTTTTAGGAGTTTGTTTAACTCACTATAGTGGAATATGCCTTTCTGTCATGAACAAGGATTTTCTTTGACTAGAAAATTATATAAGTAAACAGTATGATCCTTGTAAAGCCCTTGCTGTGTAATTGATAAATATGGGCCTTTTTGCCCTATCCTATCATTAGGTTGAGTAGTTTCTCTATGGATGTGCTCGACAATAAACTCTTGGAATCTCTCCAACAGCCCTCTGACATCTCCAATGACAATGTTAAGCTCCTTAAGATTATTAATCACCACTGAACTATGACTTCTGTAGGTATTCTCTGAAATCTTTGATGAAGTGTCAACCATAGACCATTTCTGAGACTGTCATTAGCGGTTTTTGATTCTCAAATGGGATTTTTATTGTTATTTTCTGTTTTGTTTCCTTTGTGCTTATGCAATTTCAGGCTTCAAGGGTTTATAAGGGTGTCCAGATCTGTTTTGTTTTTTTGTACAATATTAGTGTCTTGTACAGGAGAGTATGAAAAAAATGTAAAGAATGTCTTGTATAGGAGAGTATAAATAAAATGTAAAGAATGTGGTATGAGTGGTAATGTTCACTAGAGGCTATTAACTTTAGTTTGTAATGCCTTACTCATTTTTTCCAGTTTGTCTAATAAGACTTTTTTTTGTTTCATTTTCAGGATAAAGAAATTGTGTGAAATGGAGGCCTTAGGGTTATCACGACTGGAAGTAGTCGTTCTTGATATGCATACTGATGTTAAAGGCTTTTCATTGCTTACCCTCCAACAAGTCAGGTTAGCTAGGCCTTTAAAAAAAATGTTTTCATGTTTTTGGTTGCTGTCCATCTCTCAAGTTGGGAAGTCAGCGTATATATTGGTTTTGGCCTTTATCACCCCTCTTAAATCACAGGTTCAAGGACCCTTCGGAGTAGCATAACGTAAACTTTAAAACATGCAGCACTAGATAGACACAATTGTAGGAATAGGATGGATGGATGGATAGATTCTTGGATCCCATAAATCTACCTTTTCGTCTGGAGTAGAATTGTAGAACCGTAATGAGTTGAGCAAATCAATTTTATTTTCATTGATCTCATTTATTTATATGCATTCTGATAGATATCTGCATCTTCTAATAGGGATGAATTCTGGGATTTATATAAGAGCTATTTCCACCAGCGACTTCTTCAAGGCAGTCTACGTGTTTGCTTGTATGGTCCAATACCAGTCGAAGTTGGTCAGAGTGTGAAAAAGTCTGAAGATGAATAAGCCAGCCATTTTTGATTTGTTAGTCGAGGGCTAGATTGTTCTGTAATTGTTCATAATCTTATAGCTACAATTTTGGCGTAGTAGAGTTTTTTTTTTTCTCTGGATTTGCAGGGCCATGTAAACTGGATTTGTAACGGGAGTGCAGTGTCAGGTTTGATCTATTAGATTTTTCTTGAGGAAAAGGAAGGAAGAAATGATCCATAGTAAGACACAAAACGCAATGGTGTAGATGTAATTGATTGTAGGATTCTATATCCTGCAATTTATAAACATGATGATATAAATTCTTTACTATGTGAGGTATATTTTATGAGTACTTTTCTTTTCTTTTTCTTTTTCCTGCTTATGGAGAAAGTTATTACATAATTTGCACTCTATTATTATCAAAAAAATAAAGATGTATGACTGTGCGAGTGGTTTATTCATTTATTCATAGGTCGGCGTTATATCTGTTGATTGACTTTTTACAAGCATGGAAGAGAGGCTTGTTCCATGTTAGCTACTCGTCTTTTTTATATTCTTTCTTAGTTTTTGCAATAGAACTCCAAATTCTCATTCTGTTTGTCTTTGTATGGATCTTGATCTAGGAAAGAAAGTGTTTTGAAAGGCCAATGAATCATTAGGCTTCATTTTAATATAATCTTATGGAAGCATGGATTCCACCGTTTTCACTGCTTCTTGAATAATGATTAGGTAAACTTTACAAAGGAAATCGTAATGAAATTTGTTGAGTCCTCTTTTTACCCTCATACGGTTATCTTTTCTGTTTACTTCTCACTTGGCTCATATTGTTGGTACATATATAATCGGTAGCAAGGATGCAAGATCCGATAAGTTTAGAGTTATGGACACCTGAATCGCTTGTAAATTAAAAACAGAGCTCATCAAAGTCAGCTTTAATAGCAAACTTAAAATGTTGTACGCCTAATTTATGCATTTTAAATTTAATTTGTTACTGGTTTTGGCGAAATTATAAAATTGCTAGTTGTTGATTGGTGTCTTTTATCATTACTTTTTTTCGCTTGGATTTGTAGGTACCACGTACTTGAGTCATTAGTTTTAATCCATTGTTGTGGTATAATGTTTATGGTAGTGTTCAAATTTTCATTTATGCTTCTAATAAGATTTCCAATCATGGCTTTCAACCAATTAGATGGTCATTTTAACCAAAAAATAATGGTTAAGCCAATGATACAGTCAAATAGGTAGAATGGTCTTTGCTTGCATGATGGGAATTCAGATGGCGATTGAGAGTTTATATTCAAATCAATAAATTCTTATGTTGGTTTTATGTTAAGGGGAGGAGAAAAAGTCTAGATTGGCATTTATGTTTTAAAAAAAAATATCTAAATGGAAAAGTGGGAGGCATGCTATTAAGGGCATATATGTAAAAAAATACGGTTTATAAAACCTCTCTATTCGCAGTGGCGGAGCCAAAAATTTTATACTGGGAGGACATATAAACATCACTTAGTTTGACAATGCAAAAATGTTAGAATAAACAGATACTTGAATGGTTAAAGTTTTACACCTCAAAAAAATTCAAAACACGGAGTAATTAGTCGAAAAACCGGCATTATATACCAAAGTTTCTTCCATAAACGCATTTGATTATGGGTTCGGAATATTTAAAAAATGAGGAAATACAAGGTAATCTTTATGATTGACAAAATATGTAAATCATAAGGGTAAAATTGACATTTCTATGAATTATTTGAGATAATTTTGAAATTTTAATAGGATGCCGTTAGTTTTGGCATTTTCTTCCTCTTTCCTACTGCTTTCTCATCCTTCTCTCTCCTCACTCCTCTAACTCAACAATGGAGCTTCAACACTAAAATTTTCGACCTCACTTCTTCACCACCACAATCATTATCACAATTACTGTCATTTGCTATCTCCTCCCCTACGCCGCCGGCCCGCCGACATCACTTCTTTCATCATTTTCAAAAGTCAAGCTCAATTGAGGGAGCTTCAATGGAGAACATGGTCAACCCTACCCTTTTGGGTTGACCATGCCCTTAATTTCACCCTTCATTCATAGGGTTTTCATTTAAGACCGGGAAAGGTGGGTGGAGATCTGGATGCTTCATTGGTGTTGGTGTTGGGGAAGCTTCTATGGTGTTCGAGGTCGGGGAAGCTTTAATGGAGAAAGAGCAAGAAGCTTTTTAATGCAGGGAGTTCAATGGAGGTGTAGTCAGTGGAGTAACGTCGAAAAAATAGTTATGTAGGCGATATCTTTGTTCATGATGTGTTCAAAGGGATTCGAACCCGCATCCGTAGACACACAAGCTTCTATAGTTGATGCTTTGACACTTACAACATTTGCTATGATTTAAGACATTTAGCACAAATTAAATATATATATATATATATACTATTTATTTTATTAAGTGGGGGGACAACTGTCCCCCCCTATCCCACGCTGGCTCTGCCGGTGCCTACCCTGTTGCATACTTGCTTTGAAACTTGTGTAGGGTGTTGTTTAAGCCTTTATATATATTGTGTTTGTCTTGTTATAAAGCATTCTCTCTGAACAAGAGACCCTCCAAGCAAATTCTCTTCTCGTCGGACCCACTTGTGAACGTTTAGACTTGATTGACCTTCACAAGCCTCCACTAAACCTCGTACTTACTCTTTTTGCCTACACACACGTGCTGCACGGACCTGATATTAAAATATTCGGACCGTAATAGTTGTCGTAATAAAACTAGTGTAAATTTGATTATTCTATATTTGGTTTTGCGGCCCACTGCTGTCACAATAATGTTTAGTCTCGCCAATGTTATGACGCTACAAGTTGAATGAAGCCACTTCCTATGTTAATGTATCTATAGTAATATGTCTTGGTGCAAGTTAATTAAGAGCTTATGTGTCGAAATCTCAAAGATAATTATGTTTAAGGCTGGTTCTGCATATGGATAAATTGACTTTATCTTTAACTTTAAAGATTTATGAGCTACACAAACATCTGCCTTCACCATGAGACAACGTGGTAACTATCTTCTTAAAAATTCAATTTGTTATCAAAAGATCTTCTCATTTTAACCGTGCACAAATTAGTGCATTAGTTTTGATCATAAATCTGTATAATTGCATATTAGTAAAAAGTATACGAAGTAATAGTTAAATATACTTAGATGTGATCAAGGTTAGCCCGAACCGATTCTGGGCAGAATTTTTCGGCCCAAAATTTATTTTTATTGGATGGGTTTGGGAATGCCTTTTTATGCATATTTAGTTGATTTTCAAGGCCCAATTGAAAAGCCCGCATGACCCGACCATTTTGGGCGGGTTTGGGCACAAAAATTCCGCCCCGAAACTTGGCTCGACCCGGACCTGCCCGAGAAGTGGGCGTAATTTTTTAGCTTCGACCCGGCCCGTCCAATGATCACCTCTAAATAAACTACTAATTCAAACGAATCAAATAGGGACAACATGACTACACTTTATATTATACAAGTTGTGAGACACACGCAAATTGCGTGTGCAACATAAGAAATTACTATGCATGACTCGATTCTTTCTTTTTTTCCCTAAAATATAATCTTAAAAATAATATTAGTGGGTTTATAAATTGATGAAATCATAGAGGTTAAAAGTAAGATATGATTACATTATAATGTTCATGCAAAATATGATTTCCCTAAAAAAAAATTAATAAAATAAATAAATTAAAGGGTGGTAGTTTTTTTTTTTTTTTTTTTTGTTGTTATATTTTTAAAATTATGGTAGTTTTCTTTTGAAAATTATAAAAGATGAAAGGGGTATTTTGGAAAAGTGAAATTTATCACCCAAAACCCCCTTTCACTCTATATATTACTATCAATAAATAAATTAAAGGGTGGTAGTTTTTTTTTTTTTTTTTGGTAGTTATATTTTTAAAATTACGGTAGTTTTCTTTTGAAAATTATAAAAGATGAAAGAGGTATTTTGGAAAAGTGAAATTTATCACCCAAAACTCCCTTTCACTTTATATATTACTACTATAGATAATAGATAAATTGATATATTTGAATATTGAGATTAATTTTAAAAAATTTCTAGTAAAATATCAAGATTTAAAATAGTTTTTTTTTCTTACAAAATTCAGACATTAAAAAACAGTTAAATTAGATATTTAATTGGGATAAAGTTGTAATTTTAGAAAAAATGATGAATACTCCAGCATTCTCTGTGCTACTCCGTAGTTTGTACATGCTCTTATGTCCTGTCTCCCATGACCTGTGATTCCCAGTCTTTTCGAGCTTAAACTAAAAACGATCCAATTTTCTCCACAATTTCATGCTTAACTTTCCTCATTTCGAGGTACCTTTTCCTCTTTTTTTTATTCTTCCTTTATCTCAACAATCATACGTTTCTTCATCATCTTAATTACTGCAATTCTTCAAATCTTAATCTTTGTTTCTTCTAATTTTTGTAATTAATTTCTTAGGGTTTACCTTTATTTGTTGAATTTTACGACACCATATTATTGGATGAATTTTGGGTAATTATTTTTGCTGTTGAATGATTTTTCGACAATTGATTAATATGCTGAATTTTACCTATTTAGAATCTATGATTTTGTTTGGCATTTTTTTTTTTGTAGTATTTTGTTGGTGGATAATGATCAAGGCGGGTTGTGATATAGACGAGATTTGATCACACGTTCCGAAACTTTACCAACTAAGCTAGTCCATGTCCACTTTTTTTTTGCAATATGATTCATGATGTTTTGATTTATAGTTATTCTTAAGCTTGATTGATTTTGATGTTACCTTGTAAACTGAAAGCATTTTGATTTTGATGTAATTTTAAGGTTCTAGATTCCTTAGCTTTAATAGCATACACTTGCAATTTGATGTTTGTCCTTATTTCAAATTCGCCCGCTTGGTTCACCTGTGCAAGATGTTGACAGTTTAATGTTTTACTTGTTTGATTTTAGTAAACTCGTCGATTTTGTTTTTCTTTGTTGTTAGTTGTTACATGTTATGACATGTTTTTGTTCTGATTTTGGATTTTGTTCCTTAATTGATCTATTGTTTATTTTTCTGAGTAATTGGGTCTGTGTTTATGCTTTATGATGCGAAAACGTTATTGTTTCTATTTCGAAACAGTTGATTACTTGCATTGATTAACTCTATTTTACTTTGTGTAGGGATATGCTCTGTAGGTCTAAGCTAATTTAGGCAAATGGAAGACACGAACATTACGAAGGGAAGTTCCTTGGGCTCACAGTTGCTGGAAAAGTATGTGAATTGTGAATATGTAGAGTTCTTGAAAAGACAATGCCCTTACAGTGTTGTCGGGACTGTGGCAATTGCTGTGATAATACCTCTATTGCTTTCAATCTTATGGATGGGAAGGAGGAAGGTGAAGCAAAGAGGAGTTCCTGTGCAAGTTGGTGGTGACGCTGGTTTGGCTATGCGTAATGCTAAATTTAAGGAGCTAGTAGAGGTTCCTTGGGAGGGGGCCTCAACTGTTGCAGATTTATTTGAGCAAGCATGTAAGAAAAATGAAAACCATCGTTTTCTTGGAACAAGAAAACTAATTGATAAGGAAGTGATTCAATCTAGTGATGGAAGGAAGTTTGAGAAGGTGCATTTAGGTGACTACCAATGGGAAACATATGGGCAGGTTTTTGAGCGCGCTTGTAATTTTGCATCAGGACTTGTTAAGCTAGGTCATGATCTTGATACCCGTGTGGCTATTTTCTCTGAAACACGAGCTGAGTGGTTTATTGCTTTGCAGGTTGAACATCCGATCATATTTTGATAAAGCTAATTGAATAAATCTATTGTGTTTTGAGTATACTGACTATGTCACATATTGTTGTTTCTATTTCAGGGATGCTTGCGACAGAATCTTACCGTGGTCACTATGTATGCTTCATTAGGCGAGGACGCTCTAATCCACTCCCTAAATGAGGTTGAGTATTATTCTCCAAGAAGATTTTAAAGTTTATATTTTTTGCCTGTAGGATAGGTCTGAATAATAACTGACAACTTAGCTTGATAATGTATGTTCATTGTGCTGTACTGTAATTGGTAATTGGACGCACCAAATCATCTTTGATAAACCATCTATATGTAGTCAGAGTCTTTGGAATGCTACATGAAGCTGATTGTATTAACTCCTCTTCCTGATGCAATTTACAGACTCAAGTATCAACCTTGATATGTGACTCGAAACAGTTTAAGAAGGCAGCTTCAATACTTTCAAAGTTGGAAACAGTTAAAAACATTATTTACTTTGAGGAAGATAATGCTTTGAGTGATACTGGCATTTATGATGATATGGATGACTTGAACGTATCATCTTTTCATGAAGTTGAGAAACTTGGGAAGAATCATCCTTTGGAGCCAAGACTTCCTAAGAAGGAGGATATTGCTGTTGTTATGTATACAAGTGGCAGCACAGGATTGCCTAAGGTTTTGTAATTCCTTAGTTTCAGCATCTAAGAAACTTGTCGGTTATCACAGTTGCACTTGTATGTTAGTTATTTCTGTGTTATTTGTAGATTTTGTCTTTGCATCCATGAAGCACATCTAACTTTAGTAAAAATTATTCTTTACTTGAACAACCACTTGGTGTATCTTCATGAAACTTCAAAACTCTTGTATTTATCACTGTCTATCCAGAGGCGGATTTTTAGAATGACACTGTATTTGCCTCTTCTAGATAAGAAACTTAGATACTCTCGTTAGGTGACTTCCATGACTCAATATTATTTATTAAAGTTGCAGTGTGGTAAAATAATTTTTGTCGTTACTTAATCAATACAATTCTCTGTTTGGAAGTTATGTTGACCCATGATTCATGTTGGATGACACATCACTCGAACTTTCAATGTTTGCCATTATGTTAAAGTAAATTGTTTATTATTACTTATTTATTACATCTCTTTTTAGGGAGTTATGATGACTCATGGAAATATAGTAGCAACTGCTGCAGCTGTCATAACTGTGGTTCCTGGTCTTGGAAGAGATGATGTGTACTTGGCATATTTACCTCTAGCTCATGTTTTGGAATTGGAAGCTGAGGTATTGATATGTTAGACTCTATTCTTGTCCTCTAATGCTCTTTAATTTAGAACTTGTAATTAACTTTGTTTTTCTAGACGGTAATGTTGGCTTCAGGTGCTGCAATTGGTTATGGCACAACATTGACTTTGACTGATACCTCAAATAAAATAAAGAAGGGAACCAAGGGAGATGTGTCCGTACTACAGCCCACTCTCATGGCAGCAGTTCCAGCTATCATAGACCGTGTCCGTGATGGGGTTCTTAAAAAGGTTTACACATCAATTTTGTCAATCTATAACTTATTGTTGTTGATATATAATTTTTTCTCATAAATTTTTTGGTTGTGTCAGGTTGAAGAGAAGGGAGGTTTTGTTAAAACACTATTCAATATTGCTTATAAACGTCGTCTAACTGCTGTAGAAGGAGGTTGGTTTGGTGCTCGGGGACTAGAGAAATTGCTATGGGATGTTATAGTTTTCCGTAAAATTCAGTCAGTTCTTGGTGGGCGCATTCGTTTTATGCTTTGCGGTGGAGCCCCGTTATCTGGAGAGTCGCAACGTTTTATTAACATCTGCATGGGGTAAAGTCTCTGTGTGGGTTTGATCCGTGTTTGATAATATCCATTTTTCTTGACATGTTCAACTGCTGCAACCAAACATAGTAGAATACATGGATATCATTTAATAGTATTATTGTAGCTGACCCATAACTACGTAAAAGAACTTTCACAGATACCAGAATCTGAATGGGGAGGAGATTAGTAAATTTTTTTCCTTGCTATTTGTTTCAACATTTATTATTTTTAGAATTACCGGCCTAATGGTGATTGCACAAATGAAACCCTTCTTCCACTAGCAGCTTTTTGGCATCCACTTATTAGGATAATCCGAAAATCAAAATTCAAAAGTAGAAATGAAAGGGTGGGTGGGTGTTGCGGCTCTTTGGGGGGAGGGGGCGGTTTGGAGAGGAAATAGAACTGTTCTTAGGTATCTTAATGCATATCTATAACCACTTAAGGTAATCCTGTAATGCTGAATGAAGTTAGGATGATGAATGGGGTAAAGCAAAAAAAAGCAAAAAAAGTTAAAAAAAAAAATAAAAATTTATGTACAGTAAAAATTCAATTTTGATTCACCTCTTACCTGCCTGTATGCGGAAATATAGCCTTCAGCTATAGTTTTTCTTGGTGCCAATATGCCCTGTAGGCTGTAGATGCTAGTGCAATAGGCTTGTGTAAACTTATTGACTGTCTCAGTTCTCTAGTTTAGTTTTATGATGAAGAAATTACATGAACATGTTTTGCCATTGACAGTCTCTTATGCCATTTTTGGATTTCTTATCCTGACTGGCTAGCTACATTCATGATGCTCAGGGCGCCTATTGGACAAGGATATGGTTTGACAGAGACTTGTGCTGGTGCAGCTTTCTCTGAGTGGGATGACACTACTGTTGGACGTGTTGGTCCTCCTCTTCCATGTTGCTACATTAAGGTATGCTATCTATCTAGATCAGAAGATGTGTGAATGTATCTCTTCTAACATCTTTTAACACTCACATCTATTGTTCTACTTTTGCAAAGTCATGACATATGTGACATGTAAGTGACGTACTTGGATGTGTCCCAAGTTTTAGGGGGGATTGATATCCCATGTTCGGTGATAAGGGGAACAAGAAGGTGATTGAGAGTGGTTTCTCCTTTCTCCTTATTCCCATGGTTGTATTACGCAGAAAAGAAGCAATTAAGACCTTGAGATTTATTTATTTATTTTTTTATTTTTGTAAAATCATATTGCTGTTAGTCAAAAGTGAAGTAGAGTATTACTGTAGGTTATTTGAGTGGACCAATTTTCTTTCTCTTATTATCTCATAACCAACTAAACATGAAAGGTAGAGAATTATTTAATTGATTTCCAACCGCTTAGTCCTACCCTTTTCACTCTTCAATTCCAAAACTTGTGTTGCTATTCACAAAAAGCCCCATTAGTGTTTTGTTATCATACATGTATGTTTGCTTATGCAACCTTCATTTCAAATAATGCTTTATTAGCAAGCATTGCAGTGTATATATATATGATCAATTGGTCAAATTCCATTATCTTTCTACCTCCAAAAACCTTTTACTCTTTTTCTTCTCCTCTTTCTTACAGTCTTATGTTCCTTAGTGTCCGTGCCAAACGTAAAATTGTATTTGTTTACGGTATGGAGTTAGTACGATTTGAGGTTTATAAGCTTTTAAAAAAATAAAAGATAAATTACTGACGGCAGTTAATCTTGAACTTATTGAAATATAACAAATGTGAACTACACTGTTTTAAGATTATTTGTCCCTGAGAATCTTCCATTTGATTTTGTAGCTTGTTTCTTGGGAAGAAGGTGGATATACAACATCAGACAAACCAATGCCCAGAGGGGAGATTGTGATTGGTGGGCAGAGTGTGACAGTTGGCTACTTTAAGAATGAAGATAAAACTAAAGAAGTCTACAAGGTATTATCAATTTAAATTTTTACTTGCTTCTGCTGATGATTGTTCAGAATTGTAATTGTCTTATGTCACATATTTCCAGGTTGATGAAAGTGGGATGCGCTGGTTTTACACGGGTGACATTGGTCGATTTCACCCGGATGGATGCCTTGAAATCATCGATAGAAAGAAAGATATTGTAAAGCTTCAACATGGAGAATATATCTCCCTTGGAAAGGTAGGTCCATGGCACAATGTCTTTTGAATTTCTTGTCTTTATCTTTGGATTATTTTTCACCCAACAACAAGATCAACATCAACATTAACGCTAACCCTGTTCCCGGACAGAGCAGGGTAAGGAGGTTTAACATATGCGGCCTTACCCCTTGAGAAGTTATTTACAGTAGCAGTTAGTCTGAGATATAATGTGTATTTGGTACTTCAGAATGAATAAGAAGTGCATATACTTTAGTGAGCTATTTTAGTTTAGTCCATTATATTCCAAAGCCTAAAGACAATGAGCCTCTCGGCCCCTCCAGAAAGAGCCATCTAGGGTCATTCAATTTCAGAAAATGTCAGCAACTCAGCAATTATGTCTTTGCTTCATTCCTCTATTAGAAATCATGTATTTGATTCATTGCATGGATTTTCAGACTTCAATGAATGAATGAATGAATGAATGTAGCAAACTAGCGGTGGTTGACTAATGATTAAATTAATAAGTTTATAAGATGTAGCTTTGCTGCTTTCACCGAGTTTCATTCTTGTCCTGTCTTGATTGGAATGATAAAATATGCATCCCATGGAAGCCACTACTGTATTATGTTGGCTAACTTGGCTTCCTTGTCCTATATAATGGGTGAAGCTTTGATTTAGTATGTTGATGAATATTTGACGTTTGTTCACTGTTACAGGCCGAGGCAGCCCTTATGTCAAGCAATTACGTGGAAAATATTATGGTACATGCAGATCCATATCATAATCATTGCGTAGCACTTGTTGTTCCTTCACATTCAGAATTGGAGAAGTGGGCTCAAGACTATGGCATCCAGTACAAAAGTATTTCTGAGCTTTGTGACCATCCTGAAGCAATCAAGGAAGTCCAAGCATCCCTGTCAAAGGTTAGTTGTTGCAAATAGCTTACTTTTACCCAGTGAAATGTGTACCTTGCTGACGGAAAGCATGTCTATTTTATGGGAATGAGCTGAACATTCAGTTGAAGAGAATGAGTAGGAAATATCATAATATAAATTCTTGGTACATAAAACTCATGCCGCAAAATAGGCTGCCTGTCTAATCCTAGTTACTCTTCTAAGTAAAGCTTATTCAGGGTGGACTCTGTAGCAGGGCTTGGCTCTAATAAATAATCAAGCTTACCAAGTCAAGTCCATGCCACCCTGTCCCAATGTGAAGAAAACTTTGACAATATTTCTTTTTTTGGAGGAAAACATTAACAATAAATTAAACTGCATAGTTTTTAAATTATTTTTTAAAAAACAGAAGGAATTCAAAATTTGAGTGATTAATAGTTGGGTCATAGATAATTATCTAATTAATAAGCGATAATAAATTTATAAAAGGCAGCATCTAAACAATTCATTTTTGAAGAAGAATGAAGGTGAAAGAAGAAGAGTAGAAAAATTGTTCTTATGACCTTAATTTTAGAAAAATTGAAGAAGAATGAAGGTGAAAGAAGAAGAGTAGAAAAAGAAGGATGAATATTTTTCCTTTCTGTTGTTGAAATAGAATAGGTAGTGATTTTTGCCAAAATTGTTCCCGTAACATCCACTATTGACAATATCCAAATTCATTGACCGTTCCCAATTTTGGAGACGTATCCATGCGTAATATGATTATATGAAAGGGAAAAAGGTTAGTTAACGTGTTGATTATATGTAATAGAAGTATAGAACCATAGAGGCCTATTCAAATTTTTAATCAGTGTTTGTCTTCTTTCTCCGTTGAAACATTTTCTTCTGTTGTTTCTATTTTCTAACACACTCTATTACCTCTTTAGTCTCACTTTTTCTTTGTTCTTTATAATTGCATTTACGTTTAATATTGTTTCTTAATTTCTATGCCCTTATCTAAATGTGTTCATTGTAGCAGGAATGATTAACCTTCTTTTTTTGTTTTTGTTTTTTTTTTCCCTGTTTAAAGGTTGGAAAGGGTGCAAAGCTGGATAAGTTTGAAATTCCTGCAAAAATTAAGCTGTTACCTGATCCATGGACTCCCGATTCAGGATTAGTCACAGCCGCCCTTAAGTTGAAGAGGGAGCAACTTAAAACCAAGTTCAAGGATGACCTTGAAAAATTATACGCATGATGGAAATGGGTAATTAATTTTACTTGGTACAAAGTTCACACTTTCGGCCTAGGTTACTCCTGCTTGGCCTGACTTGTAATCTGTGGCTCTATGCTTAAGGTTTTGTGCTGGTAAAAGACTGAATTGTTTACAGGGCCTTATAATTTTTTTTCCATTGTAAGGTTCAAAAGCATGTCTAGCTGAGCCAAAAGACCTTTTACTTTTTTTGTGGATAGAATGAGATGAGGTATTGTTGATGAATACTGAAATTTTAAGCTATTTTGCACTGTCAGCTGAATTAGATTTTATAATTTGCTCCTCCAGTTCTGAAATCTTTGTTTTACTAATATTCGATGTGTTTTAACATATACAATGAAAGCTTCCAGAGGCAGATATCAGATTATCAGGTAAAGTTGAAGACAGGAATGGACATGATCAAAAGAGAGGATTTAAGCCAAATTCTGTTTCCAGTGACATTTTTTAGATCAAAATGCTAAAGAACCCTTGCCCTGTTTGGTAGGTGCCTAGGACGTAATTATTAGTTGTAAAATGGTGATGAGTTCTGAATGAAACTATACGAGGAAGTTTAGCCCAAGTTTTTGCCAATCAAACTACACCATCTTCCACTTCCTAAGAAGACTAATTCTCTTGTTATCTTTTGTCAACCTTTTTTTTATTTGAAGCCAAGTAAGCATGATTATATTAGATCAATTTCCGTGAAAGTTTGAAGGCTTTGGGAAAGGAATTCGTACAAATGAGTTTCGAGTTGGGATCCGTAGCCCATCGGCGCAACTAAATGAGCTAAAGAATTCCCACCACGCCTTACATGCTTACATTGAAAGAAAATAAAGGAGTTACTAACTTTGAAAATATCCTCATGAAGAAGAAAAATGGGAGCAGCACCCTTCTGTTTTGTCCGGATATCCTCATGAATGAAACTTGCTACGTGTCACACTCCAAAATAACCTCATCATACCCCAGCCTTTGGCCAAGCTCCACCCCAAAGCGTGCAGCCCCTGCCTCTGCCATCTCAGGGCTCCAGCGAACCTGATGATGCCTCACAGCAGCCACCAACAGCTGTCCCCCCGAACCTCTTATCATAGAACCAAACTATATACCGCATCCTTGGGAGACATGAGCATCGACATTAATCTTTACACGTCCTTCAGGATGACACCACGACCCCCTTAGTGCTGGAGAAGCCCCATTCTTTGTTGGCAAGACCTTCGCACTGTAAGAACAATAAAAAAAAATAAAAAATAAAATAAAAAATAAAACAGCTTCACAAAACCAGCACCCATTCTCACTGCATCAGGCCCAGCATCACTATAAAAAAATATGCGTATATCTACAATGCCAAATAGCCCAAGACAGAGGCGCAAAGACACACAGCTGTTCCTTGTTCACCTTGGTTGCCATCCAACCCAGCCTATCAGCAAAAGAACTCGACAGGGCAGCAGCAATGAGATCCCCAAAGTCACTCCTCTCCCATACTTTCACTGCATAGGTGCATTCAAAAAGAGTGCAAAATTGACTCTTCATCACCGCCACAAATGGGACATTGTTTAGACATTCTAATATGCCGCCTATATAACTCACCCATGACAGCCAACGGTCCTTTACACACACTCCACAGTCCTAAGAAGCTTGATCCTCTGCACTACTTGTAGAAAAACATGTCTACCAACAAAGTCTCTACATAATGTGGCAATATGTTTAAAGTTGATGTAATACTTTCCTATCTTATATCTCATATTGAGATAATAGTAAAACTCAACAAATTTTTATTGCAAATGAAATTCCATAAGCAGGTTCATACGGCCTACGAGTTTAATCACTAATAATCTCTATACAAAGAAAGTATTTTATAACTACTAAATGAAGTCAATGAATCAAACTAAATTTTTATTGCTGCAAAACAGAAGGTATGATTATTTATAGGTTCAGGGTGCGAAAAATATTTGTCCAATATAAAAAAAAACCTCAAATATTTCCCTAATGAGAAATTCTGTAGCTCTGAAATTTTCTTTCCTGAAAGTAAAGCAGGTTGAAAGCCCTTAACTTGCATGTTAGCAAGTTTAGCTTGGTCTAAAAATAATATCCATCTGCATGTTAAGTAGAGGAACCATCTTGAAAACCATAAACTGCTAGATTTGGCCACAAATATCTGCTTCCTTATTTGTTGGGTAATGTGAAAGCAGCCATCTTCACCTGTTTAACCTTCTTAGAATATTTGGTGTCATATGAGAAACTCCAATGGCAGTTGTGTCAGCATAATGATGCAAATCATCAATCAGACTTCAGTGTACTTTCAAGTGAGACAGGCATTGTTGTTAGCGGTGGCCGCAACAACAGGTATAAAGCAGGACCCAAGAAAGGGATTATCGATAAAGGAAGAAGCCAAGCTGTCTTGTCATAGCTGTAAAATGGAAATAACAGAACATTGAGCACACAAGTCTAATTATGAGGAATTCAACCATAGGTTCTAGTAATTTTCTGATGTTACACTAACGAGAGTCCTAGGATGTCATTATAGGAAAAAAAAAAATCTTAGGATCTTACCATTTTCGTGCTGTCATATCATTGTAAACCCAGAAAGGTGCAAATGCTGATAGAAGAGTGAAATCAAGTGAGGTTGCATGAACCTGAGGCAAGTGGGAAAAAATTGCTAACTGAGCGCATTAACTATGATATGAAGAAATTAGAGTTAGGATAAAAGAAATCTTGATTAAAGAGACTCTAAGACAATCATAATCAGGACTATAGATCCAAATAATTTAAATCATGGTAACTAACTGAAAAGATAAGGCCTTTTGCAGCCTAATATGCTTTTGTCCACAGGTGCTTGATAGAGATGTTTCTATGGAAAATTTCCTTATGCTAAGGCTTTCAAGATAATTGTTATACTACGTACACCCCCCCCTCCCCCCGGGGCCGCGTTCCGGGGAGAAATATCTACTTAAGAATATGGTCGAATTTCATTTGGAAATACTTTCTTTTTAAATCCAAATCATGAATTTGTTGATGAAGGATGTTTAACAATGGGTATAGATTATAGAAGACACCTTTATTGAAAGATCCAAGGGATTACAAAACCACTAACTATCAAACCAAGATTTCAGATCTATTGAGTCAATTAGCTACCAAAGGAAAAGATGATTTTATAAGAGATACGGTGCATCTCAATTCTCAAATAAATAAGACATAGGTAAGCAAGAATAAATTTAAGGCACAATCAAGATCGTAGCTTACCAACTTGCTTTCTCTGAAATACTGATAGAACTCCTTCCACTCATCTATTGCCAAGCCTGCATATACTATAAGGCCTAGTCCTACAGCACCCAAGAACTGACAACCAGGAAGGTTAGTTATTTTTGCAAAAGCATACATACAAATCATTCATACAAACGCAAAGACATTTAACAACTATGCAAACATAAGATTTTCCTTGACAAGTTCTTAGGATGGGGATGAAACTTAAATGTTTGTAATAACCCAAGCAAAGTGCAATCATGGTATAGTGAAGGGCTCTACAAATGATTATGGTGGATTTACTTTTCATAGATTTCGATTCATATTTATAAAACAATATTTGAATTTCCTCTTAAGTTTTACTCATAACAGGCTGCAACTAATCTCAGACCACTTACTAGTTTAATTCAACAAACCATGTCATCTCCAACCAGCAAAAAGCAACAAGATGTGATTCAATATGAAGTATCACTTTCTTTACCTATGTAAATCAAATCAGTTCTTACCCCAGCTGTCAGCTTTGATTCCAAGAAGTTCAGAGGCCAGCTACTTAGTTCGTCTTCTTTCACCGGTGGTGGTGGTGGTCTCCACAGAATGAAATATGGAATGAGAGCATAAACACCTCCAAAAAACGAAAGTGTGGCGAATGGCCACACAGGAATATTGCTTTTCGAACTGCAGAATAAGAAACACTAAATTTCAGGTGTAAAAGAGGTTTCTTATTCAATGGAGCTTAAGATGCCAAAGAGAACATGTCACTTTTGTAGGCACACAAATTCACCTTCTGCCAGAGGGAATCAGTAGCATACTGTAAACAATTGGCCATAAACCCATAATGTACCAAAGCGACACAAGTAATCTATTCATCTCGAATCCATCATCTCCGATCAAGTTAGAGAGCTTCTTCAAGAAATACATGTCCCTTGACTGCAGTCAAATAGAGGCAAGTCGTCAACAATCTAGTGCAATTCTATGTTACAGACTCTTCACTCCTGTAGTCCTATTTTCACTTCAAGTACCCGTGTCAGATACTCGACCCAGCCACATGAATACAGACACTTGCACAAATAATGCACAATTTAGTAATTTTATGCCCATCTAGTCTAATTTGGAAAAAAAAAAGAAAATTCAACCAACTATCTTATGCCACTTTTATGGTCTAACACTGTAGATACAACCATCTCATACAAAAATTACTCGAATAGTCGTACCAAAATTTTCCATATACTTCAAAATCAATGTCAAATGCAATCCGATAACATAGTACATAAGTCCTATAATAGCTTAAGTTCAGAAAATTTAACTAATTAACCAGATTATGTAATCAACAAAGATAAAATCATACTGGGTTTGGTTGGGAAAGTGACTATAAACAAAGATAAAATACGTTCAAAGTTATTTTATTTTGATCACATAAAATCGAACAGATAATCAAGAAAGATAAAAATCATACCGGGGTTTGGTTAGGAGAGAGATTAAAGACATAGTACATGAGTCCAGCATAGAACAAGAAGAGCAAAATTGAGGTAGTCCAATCTCCACCATTACCACCATCTTCATCACCACCAACATCACTTTCACTGGAATCATTATCTTCCACAATTGGGTCTTTGAATTTTGAACTTAAACAAATTTGGGTATTTCTCTTCTTTTGATATTGATTAATGGGTATCCTTTTGCAGTAAATTAAGTTGAGCAAAATTGGAGGATTTGTTAGTAATAAGGAGTTTGGGTTACAAGGTTTAGGATGAAGTTTAACAGGGCCAAAGCGTAGGAAATTGGAGGAGATGAGGTTTGAATTTGCTATCATTTTTGCTGCATTTGGCTTCTCCACTTTTTGCGCTCAATTTTATCCCTTCCCTCCCGGCGACACGGCTACGCTCTTTAAGATAATTGGGCCAGGCTAGCTCGGGGCACGACATGTCCCAACTTCCCAACCCAAAATAAAATTGACATTTAAGTTGGAGCTTGGAGGTGATAACTTGTTTCAAGATCTTTTCAACGATATGTTATATGCCCAATTTCCCTACCTAATAAAATACCTTATAAAAAGTGAGAGATTGTGCTTATGAATAGTGTA